TTACTTATAACTTAGTGGATTATTGTCTAAAATGGGGGTCCTCTGAAAAAATATGAAAAATGGTTTCTGAGGGGTAAAGAAATTGAAATTGTAGCAAAATATAATTATTTAGGCATAATTTTTTCGAGTTCGGGAAAATGGTTTCAAACAGAGAAAGATATCTCGGAGCGAGCTAGAAAAGCACTATTTTGTTTGGAAAAAAACATTATGGGGTTGGGGGGACTGCAGCCTGATCTTGCATGCAAAGTATTTGACAGTAAAATATTGCCAATTTTGTTATACGGTAGTTGTGTGTGGGGAATGCGGGGTGTAATAGCTGACATAGAAAAAATACAAAATAAGTTTTGTAAATTTCTATTGAGAGTTAGTTTCAACGCTTCCAATGATGCAGTAAGGGGTGAATTAGGGAGACACTCAGTTAGAGTTTATGTTAATATTGAAATGGTCAGATTTTGGCTGAAACTGATTCAAGAGGGCGGCTCAACTATACCATAGAGCAGAAGGGGGGTCTAGGTGTTGGGCTTTAGAGGTAAAAAATATTTTATGTACATCTGGTTATGGACATGTATGGTATGAACAAAGAATTGATAATAGCGAAATGTTCTTCAGTGAATTTAAAAGAAGATGTTTTGATATATCTAGACAGAATTGGTGTGCAGAAATTAATAAAAATGTAAAGCTTCAAACATATTGCATGTTTAAACAAGATTTAATATATCAAAGATATCTTGCTGCTATTTCGTTGGCTACTCCTATCTATTCTTGTGCTATAACTAGACTTAGAATTTCTTGTCATCCCCTAGAAATTGAAAATGGTAGAACATTGGGTATTCCACGTGACCAAAGATTATGTCCATTTGGTTGCAGGGTCACAGAGGGCGAATATCATTTCACTATGGTTTGTCCAAAATATGAAGCACTTAGACAAAAATTCTTACCAAAATAATATTTTTCACCACCAACAACCAAGATGAAATTCATTGCATTGCTACAGAGTACTAACTCGTTTATTTTACTAAGTTTGGGTAAATATTTGTTTAAGAGTTTTCAAGTATGATTTGAAGTATATGTATCTTGTAATTTTAAAGCGACCATGTGTAATTTAAGTTTTGAAATGTAACAGTACTTTAGGCCGGTGGCCATATAGTGCGGAATAAAGAAATAAAAAATAAAATCATAACTTTTGTTATATTCGGGTATATTATTTATTAATTGTTAATTATTAGGCAGTTTGATATCGGTGTTTGGTACTTGTGTGATACACGATTATATTTAGAAATGAACAAAGCACTGACAAGTACGTCTGTTACTATGTTTATGTACATTTCATTGCCCATATATTGCGAATAAACTAGAAAATATGTACAGTCGCGTAATGTCTTTTAAATGTAATATTATGATTGTAGGCAATTGGTAATCACGACTTTGGCAATGGAATTGATGGTCTGACTCCTTTTCTAGACAATGTAACATTCCCTGTATTGAGTGCAAACATCGATGATACTGATGAACCAAGCATACAAGGCAAATACAGCAAGTCTACTGTACTGACAAGGGGGAATGAGAAAATTGCTATTATTGGGTACACAACAACTGAAACACCAGTAATTTCTAGTCCTGGTAAGTTTTTATTAATATTAACCCACACAATACAACGATGTGGTGAAAAGTTCAATTTGAAGTGACCATTATTCCAGCTTGCAGGGCTTTTGCTGGTCAGATTTATTTCTATGAAAGGGACTATAACGACCCATCGATAACATGACTAGGTGAGTATAAGTATGATTATATACACACATGTTACATCCCTTATAGGTGGGAGTTTTGGGCAGGGTACTCACACACACTAAGCTTTTTAATATATTCTCAGATGGAGAAAACCTGACAATCCACGATCTGGATTCAACCATAATTTAAGTAATTATTTAAAGTAATTATTTGGTTCTAGGTAAATTAAAGTTTTTAAATGAAGTCGATGCCATACAGCAAGAGTTGAACCGACTGAAGAATGAAGATCCAACCATCAATAAATTCATTGCTCTAGGCCATAGTGGAATTGTTGTTGATATCGAAATTGCTAACAAGGTTGTAGGCATTGACGTTGTTATTGGTGGACACTCCAACACGTTTTTGTATACTGGTAGGTATTATGTTTGTAATGAACTATTATTGGAAACGTTTAAATACTTACACTATGACAATACGCATTACTGCAACCGCCCACAACAACGTTTAACCATCATAAATGTTTGTTGTTCTCTCTTAAAATAAAATAGACAAAAAAAGGAACGCCGATCAAAAAATGTATAGGATCGTTTAAAAGTATGTTGAATGACGCAGTGTTATAAAAGTACGGCCCACGGGTATGGCTTCCTCTCATATTTTAGCATTTGGTGGCGCACTTTCGGCGAGAGTCGGAAATCCGGAAACAATCGACCGTTTCAGGATAGGTGGGCGTGGCTACAGCACGGGAAATATCTCAAATTTACTAATTTACGAGTAATCATTTTCAGCAAAAAAATCAATAACTGCCCATTTCAGGATGAAGGATTGTATAAACATCGTGGTGTACACGAAATATGTATTATAACAGTATCAATATTAAATTAATAGCATAAATTATTTTAAACAAATTAATAGCAGCCAATAATAAGAGATATGATCTGTTGCCCAAATTTATGAGCATTTAACACTACGTGTACAAATGTACGAAAATAAGTTATGCTCCAGATGTCACCTCCAATGGCATATTTCTGGCCTTTGAACAAGTATATAGGTGATCATTGTACAATATCGCTCATACTTAAGATTCGACCGCGTTTTTCCCTGTGTTCCTGCACCAGACTGGTTGAGAGTGTTTATGTTCATTGGGCTACCGATGTTTCAGCCGTTCTTCACATTCCATTCACTTGGGTGCCAAATTCGGCAGTTGGTATAGTTTTTGATGTGACATTTGTAGGAAGATTCAGGTGCCGGACATTCATACACTGGAAAGTGTGTTATATGTTCCCTCTCCTTCGTCGTGTTTTTATTTTTTGTTTTACTTTTTAGATTGTAGTTTTTTTTTTTAAATTTCTTTCTGTAAGACCCTTTTTATCCTTTCCTAAGGATTTTATGCGTCTAATAAAAATATAAATATAAATGTAAATGTTGTGTGTAGTGCATGTTTTCATTGCTTTCCTCTTACGTTTCTACGTTAGGACGTGATGGGGTTTCATTTAGCACTGAACTATGGTAAGGGCAGATGGTGTACCTCGTGACAGCATATGCAGATACTCTTGTTTGTAGTGTCATGTTTAGAAAGAGGCACATACTCATACACATGTATCCCATAATTACAATTACAATTACATAAATGTGAAGGTCCCATTAACTGTAACATCTGTTCCTGAAATACCTTGGCTCCTAGCCCAATATACTATCAATGTTTGCATTTCAGGGTTTCCTCCATCAACAGAGGTTCCTATGAATAAATATCCTATACTAATTCATCCACCTCATGATGGTAAGCGTAATGTTCTTGTTGTACAAGACTATGCCTATGGAAAATATCTTGGAGAGTTGAAAGTGACTTTTGACGATGACGGCAATGTAATTGGTTGGGATGGAAACCCAATACTATTAGACAATAACGTTCCTGAAGGTAAGCCATTAATTATATGTACTGAATCTAGATCGGGAAATAATATTCTATATATACCAAGAATCAGCTCACAACATAGGGTTTAAGTGTAATAGATGGTAGTAGGTTATCATATTCCTTGGTATCGTTTTCTCAATAAATTAAAGTGGATAGCCCCTTTCATTGCCGTGAGAGTGAATGACTAATTGTTAAAA